GTAACCTTACTAGCACTTTGATAAATTGGCTATTAATATAGTTTAACAATAACCTGAACCTTAACCAAGATCTGCTTATATAGCTGAAAAAGAATCTGGTTTCTCTTACTAAAATAATTTTAGCCAGGATAGAGTTCTTTATTATTATTGTAGAAATCCAAAACATTTTATTGCTGACTGCAGAAAAAGATGTAATAATAACCAAAGAAACAGAAACAACAAAAAAAAAACTAACAAAAATAATATTAAAAGAAATTATAATCGTTACAATAACAATAACAATCAAAGAAACAGAGATAGAAGTCAATCTCATGATAGAAATTATAAGGATAGGAGTCAATTCAGAGACAGAAATTACAGAAGCAGATCTAGAGACCAAAATCAAGATAAATAGTGACCCAGATCCAACTACTCACCATCACCTTACTACCGAATATTAATATAGCTAAAAAGCAACCTGCTTCTAATTCTAACAATTGAGAAAGATTGCTATACAACTATTCTATTAGAACTGCTCTAACTATCTATATTACTGAAATCAATAGAGAAAACATAAAACCCAAATCTATTAGTACCATTACTCCTGTTAAATATTATATTGATATCCAAGATTATACTTACCCTGCTATTATTGATAGTAGAGCCTCTGTCAGTATGATCTTACACCAAACTGTAAAGAAACTAAATTTTAAAATTGAAGAGTTATCAAAAAGTCTTATTGTCACTGCTACTGGCACCACCTCTAGACCTCTTAGAATTATTAGAAATTTGCCTATTAGGATTCAAGATTGGCTTATCCCTTTAGATATAGAAGTTGTACCTGCTACCTCTTATTTTATTTTACTTAGAAATGATTGGTCAAAGAAAGTAGAAGCCAACTATAACTAGAAAACATGTCAATATACTCTCTATTAGAAAGAAAAGAAAATTGTTCTTGATACTTTATATAAGCAAGAAAAGTCTAAAAAAAAGAAACCAAATCTGTATTACTACTAAAAACTTTAAATTATATAAACAGGAATATCTAACACCCCATGAAGCTTATATATTTTCAGCATTTTCGGAAGATGAAGACCAAGGATAGACTATCTACCAACCTTAAAAAGAAAACTACCTTGTAAAACCTGTGGTCAAGCTAACTATCAGTATAAAGATTGCTTCAGAAATCAATATTATTATTGCAACAAATTTGGATATATACTTATCAACTGCCCCAACAAATGTAAAAGGTCAAATAACTGTAGAACTTGTAGACAAACTGCTTACTTGTTCAAGTATTATTCAGATAACTAATACTACAAATATAATAAATTTGGTCATATCGAAATTAACTGCCCTCTTGCCCAACTTAAACTTGATAATTTAACTTACAAATATGATTGTGACAAAGATCAAATAGAAGAAAAAAGAATGACCTACCATAGTAGAAGACAAACCCATTATTGTTGTAATTGTTGTACCCCTTAGCAACCTAACAAACTATACAAATTAGAAGAAAACTTGCTTGTACTGCTTGTTATAAAACTTACTATGAAGTTCTTGACCCAAAAGACCCCAAAAGCCAGGAATATTATAATACAATACTTGGTAGAAGAACTCTTGTCTGATGCAAACTTTGTAATATTCAGAAACCCAAATCAAGAATATACAACATAAAAAGTATACGAGAAGAATTGTAGTTCTGTAAATTGAAATACATGTATGCTTATAAAATTTTTACAGACCTTCAATATAATTCAAACTATAAGATTTGGAACAGGATTAGATATTATACTGAGTCTACCAGGAATGCTGGATATCAGTATGATTTAAACCAAGATAGAATTTACCGTCTAGTTAAAGTTCTACTTAATGAAGAATACAGAAGTATAAAAGAAGCTATAGTAGAGCAAGAAGATGATAGATATAACTGAGAATAAACTCTTGAAGAGATTATCATTTTATTTCAAGCAGAGCAAGTATTGTTTATGAAAGATAAAGAGACTACTTTACAATAGATCCTAAATAAATCATTTAATATCTCTTAACCTGACTTTGATACTTGCAAAGCAATTAAGAATCTAAGGAAGAATTTTGAAGAAAAGTAGCTCTTTGCTAAGAGTGCCTTTTTGCTAAACAAAGTACTAAATTAGAAGCTAACCAAGATCTCTGTGATGAATGCAATCAAAAAAAAAACAAATTCTCTTCTGTTGAAGAAACAATTACAGAAGAAATATACCAAGGTAATATTATTACTTCGAAACAGCTTACAGAAAAAATATATCATAATAATACTATTATAGTAGAAAAACTTGAGATAAGTGAGGACACTATCTTTAAGGATGAAGAAAAAGACCAAGTTATTATTCAACTAAAAGCCAGAGTTCAATACTTAGAAGAGAATTTTGAAAAGATTATAGAATTTTTTTAACAACAAATTCATTATTACCAAAAATGAGCTGATTATTATACTCGTATAGCCTTCATACAGCAAAATTTTTAAGCTATCCTAAGCAAGATGAAAAATTACCTAAAGATTTAGAAGAATTGCTAACAGAAACAGAAGCTTTGCAACAAGCTTTGCAAGCTAATGCTCTTAAATACAATTTTGTATATACTATCTATTAAACTACGATCTTACAATATTCCACTAGATGAACAAGAATTTATTAAACAAGAAATTGAATGAATGCTAGATAGCAATATTATTAGATCTTTAGAAAGCCCTTAGGCATCACCTGTTGTTCTCGTGTGAAAGAAAAATAGAAAGTTAAAATTCTGTGTTGATTACAGAAAGCTTAACATTATTACTAAGAAAAATACTTACTCACTACCTTGAATTCAAGAAATATTAAATGCCCTCTTAGGATCACAATAGTTTTCAACCTTAGACTTAGCTAGTGGATACTGGCAAGTCATGATGGACTTTAAAGATAAAGAAAAAACTGCTTTTATTACAAAGTATAGCACCTATGAGTTTAATGTAATACTATTTGGATTGTATAATGCTCCTGCTACTTTTCAATAACTTATAGATCAAGTTTACAAAAGAATTGCCTAGAAGTTTGTAGTTATGTATCTTGATGATACTAATATATATTTTCGAATATTTGAGGACTATTTAAAATATCTAAAGATTGTGTTTTAATAAATAAGAAATGTAAAATTAAAACTTAACCTTGAAAATGCAACTTCTGGATGAAGTTCTTACCCTTTCTT